TCTCTTGCAAAAGAGGGAAATCGAACATGAGGTCCGAAAATAGATAATTATAATATATCGTGCTATTTGGCCGGGTTTTCTTGGCGACTTTGCATGTTCTTTTAATTTTGCATTAATTTCGCTTACGAACTTGCACTAGACTTTACAGATTAATAGTACTTTTATAATGGTAGATTGTTTTAAGCAAGTATCCCCTTGTCAGTTATCAAAGGCAGATGGTAATCGGCATTAAAATAGAAATACCCAATCGAATTAGAAAAAAAAACAGTCAATCACAGTTTTAGATCTTGATAAGTTTTGGGGATTTTAAAGATTGAAAGATTTTTTTTTTCTTTTTTCTTTTTTTTAATAAGAAGAGCAGTTTTTGTAAATGAAGTTGCAGGGATCACTTGGAAATGAAATCATCATGGAATGACCGTAGATTTTGCCAACCACCTTTTTTTTAGTTTTTTTTTTTTCTTTTTCTTTTTTTTTACTTGCTTTTTTGGAATAATCCTGAGGGAAAAAATCGGCTTTGGCTCTACGTTTATACATATATTTTTTTAAGCATTATATTTTTGAATGTATATGTATAAAAGTATATATATATATATATATAAACAAATCTCTCCTTTTTTTGTTTAGACTGTCTTGGCAGTAACTGGACCCTCGTGCATGGCATTGCATGTCCCTTTAAAACTCTGTGTCTGACCCGCTAGTGTGTTTCGATTGCATGGTGAGACTTAGTTCTTTTGCTTAACGAATGCCTAAATAAAATAACTTCCGCTATCTCCGTGTGGATCGTAAAAAAAGTACAAGAGAGTCCTATCGGAATATTAAAGAAAAAAACAACAACAACATGAACAAAAAGAGTGTATATAAATAATACTAGATTGTTTACACACGTTTTCGTAGTTCACTTAAACTAAACTAAACAAAATATAAAACAGTTTAATCGTCTTAACCAAAACGTGGTTTTCGGTATATAAAATTGTGTCATTTATATATTTTTTTTACGTCATGAACTGTGATTCTTATTTCTCTCTCTCTCTCTCTCTCTCTCTATCTATCTATCTATCTATCTATCTCTCTCTCTCTTTCTTTCTCTCCCTCTCTATCTATCTATCTTTTATTCTTTCATCTTTATGTTTCGGTTTCCTATTTTTACTCTCTATCTCTCCCAAGATAATTTACTCTTTATTTTTTATAGAGAAGGTATCATACGATCTTAGATAACGTAATCCCTCTAACTTATTTATTCTTACCTACTTTTCTTTCTTTCTCTGCGTGTCTAATTTTATAAACATCATTATTTAAAAAAAAAAAAAATCCGTTTCCATTCCTTTTTTTCACTATAAACATAAATCAGTTTATTCACCACCATTGTCACTCATGAATTCAACGTGTAAATAAATGGTAAACATTCATTATTTATGTTAATTTCCACCGAGTGCATGGCAGCCCCACCATCATAAGTGACCCACATTGTATATATATAATTTCCTAAGAATTGCCACAACAGATAGGACACAAGCTTTCGCTTTGACACTGTATCACTTCGTTTGGACACTACCTGAATCGTTAAATTCACCATTCTGTTTTCTCTCAACAACATTCTTAGTTCTGCCATGGAAAATCAACTCGTATTTTCGCCATAAATGCAGGCACTGTTATGTATTTTCTGTTCTACACTATTAAACCCCTAAATACAAGCACCAAATATCGCCACAGTCATCAGATGACCACGACTGTCACCACCATTAAGGTCATCGTCACCACAGTTATCCTTACTATCCAGATATCACCACCACTAACAGTCACCATACCACCATCACCAGTCACCACGCCACCACCGCAACCACCACTTCACCGCACCAGCACCGCAACCACCACACCAGCACCATCACCACTACCACCACACCAGCACCACAATCACCACACCAGCACCACCACGTCACCACACCACCACCGCCACCATCACCCTATCACCACCACTACCACTACCACCACCCCCTTCACCACACCTCCTCCCTCACAGCCCCAGGGAAACGTCCACCAGACCCTGATTGTGGAGGAATTCGAGCCCGATGTGTTCCGTCAGCTAATCGAGTACATCCACACCGGCTGCGTCACGCTCCAGCCGAGGACGCTGCTGGGTAAGGAGATTCTGAGGAAGGAAAGGGGGAGAGGGGGGGAGGGGAAGAATTAGGCAATGGTGAGGGAATTGGGAGGAATGAATGATAAAGATAATGTCTGTATATATGTATATGTATATATATATATATAGACACATATATACTCTCTCTCTTTCTTTCTTTTCTCTCTCTCTCTCTCTCTCTCTCTCTCTCTCTCTCTCTCTCTCTCTCTCTCTCTCTCTCTCTCTCTCTCTCTCTCTTTCTCTCTCTCTCTTTCTCTCTCTCTACACACACACACACAACGAACATCCCCTCCCCCTTCTCATCTTCCCCCCGCACTCCCTTGCACGCCTCTCCCCGCAGGGCTGATGAACGCCGCCGATTAC